TTGCTGCTTGATGCTGGAGCTGACAAAGATGCAGCAGCAGAAGATGGGACCACGGCTTTGCTGATTGCAGCAGAGAATGGCAACTTGGAAGTTGTGCGCTTGTTGCTGGAAGCAGGAGCTGACAAAGATGCTGCAAAGACTGGTGGGGTAAGAGGTGAGGATCTTGCAGCTCGGAAGGCGACTTGGAAATGAGGAGGTTGTTGCTTGAAGCTGAAGCTGACCAAAGATGCGAGTTGAAGACAAACTTTTGTCACTGGTGAACCAATGCCAATGCTGAATCGCAATGGATTCCCGATCGGTAGAAGAAAGATTTGAATGTTCGACAGCATTTGCCTCGGACGGCTGATCTATGTCGTCCTTGGGAACGTGCTGATCTGTGCTCCCCACTGGTGACTGGTGACACTTGGAAACTGGTTCACTGAAACCTTTTTATTCGGGTGTCCTGGCGAGGAACATATACTTTTTGTGCTGCAGCCTCGGTAGGACATCGGAAAAAGATGGAAAAAGGTTTCAGTGACCCTAGCAAGACTTTTGCTTGACTACCGTGACGACCGTATACTTCGCTGTGGCCAGCCTCGGATGGACCCAGAACTGGTTCCGTGACCTGTTGATTTTCATGCTGATCTGAGCTGCTTTTTCCGGCGGTTCTGGGTGCTTCACCACTGCCCTGTGACCTCCAGATCCTCAGCTTCAGCTGATGCTCAGATGGGTTTCACCAGATGAACGCACATGGTTTCGAGCTGTTTCGGGTTGAAAAGCCGAATGAGCCGATTCCTTGATAAGGGATGTCAACCGTTGGCACGTGCCATGCTTTAGTTGGGAGGTGAGACTCACAGCCTCAAAAAGACTGTGAGTCCAAAGGTTCAGTGTTGAAAAAACTTCATTATGGCCCTATGGCCGCTTGCGAGCTTGGGGGATCTTGGGGGTTGGGAGTTTCTGACCTGTCTTTGATGAGTGGAGAGGGCACAAAGATGTGAATGACCCAAAGATGTGAGGGATGGTGGTCATGGTGGTCTTCCCTCAAGTCGATGGTTGGGTTGAGGTCCGAGGTTTCGGATGAAACCTGCCGAGGCGTCATCAATTCTGTGCTGGAAGCCGGGAAGGCGCAGCATCATCTCCGGTTCGACGGTTCCACCCCTGCAAGGTTCGGAGCCATCGACGAGCAGGCTCCACGTGGGGTTGCCTCGAGCAAGACCAGTCCAGTCCGCAAGTCTAAGTGAACACCTGGTCCTCAAAAACCATCTGGAACACCTCATTCCAGGAGTCACAAAGGGGTGGTGTTTAGTCCCTAAGTGAGCGGAGTAGCTGGGCACCCTAAACCTCCATTAAGCACCCCTTTGTGACTGCTGGTTGAGAAGTTTCGTGAACGGTTGAAACATCGGACCTAAACAGGAGTGGTCAGAAACATCATGAAGCATCGGACCTGGTGACCGTCCGAAGCCGACGAAGCCCTGGATGTGGGCGCCGCTTCGGCGAGCCGAAGCGGCCCTGGGGCGGTGCACGAAGCCGAAGCGGTCGAGCAGTGGACAGCGAAGCGGGTGAGCAGTGGAAAAGCTGTTGGGCCCAGAAGCTCATGGACCCTCATATGGGTGAGTTCGGACCCGAATCCTCTCAAAAGGTCTGGGGTCGAACCAATCCCTATGTTTTGAGGGACCAATATTTGTTTAAAGCGTTTGGGGGGGTATTCAATTAAATGATGGCAGGCCACCGGGGAGCAGGAGAAACGATGAGAACATCTGGCGCCCACATCTACCGCCGTTCAACCCCACATAGGCGTAAACCGGACGTTTTCGACTTCGACCACCGGTGAGGCTCACGGGCACCATGAATCGGTCGGTCAGGCGCTGAATCGGCCCATCATGATCCAGTTCTCAGAGGCGACGCCGCCGTGGAGGGTTTCTTCGCGCGACTCAGAACATCTTCACCCTCACGTGGTGGAGGATGGTGACCAGGACGTCGTGGTTTGGAGCGTGGTCCTGGTCACCCAGTGGACGTGACCAGGAACATCGGGTGGTGATGGGTGGTGCTTTTCTTAGAGGAAGCACTGACATCCTCAGGGGGGGTCCAGTTCACCAACCGAACTCGGTGGTGCAGTTAATGGCTCTTGGATGTTCAAAGCCTCATCCTCAGGGTGGTGCGGCTTTCATGGCGGGCAAGGGCCTTCCCAACGAGAAGGGCGTCTTGCAGGCGGGTGCTAGAGTGAGAAGAAGGGAGAGGTGATGATGGTGATGGATATGTGATGGATGGAATTCTGTGGTCATGGTCAAAAACATGTCAAAACATGTAAAAAACGGTGAACTGCTTCCAGATCAGTGATGTGCAGATTGATGGTCATCCATCTAATAGTAGGACAGTTCTGGATCTGGACCAACCATGAGGATTCATGGCCTCACCCTCGGACGATCTTGGGACTGGGCAAATGACAATTCCTTTCATGTGTGTTTTGTGCCTAGACGGGCCCAAAGCAGTTATCACCTGGTGGTGATTGAGTAGCGGATGGTTTCATTCATTCAGTAGGTGGTTGCCAGAGCATGGCAGAGAAAGCTGCCATCGAGCGGTTCTGAAGCAAGCTCCATCCTTCAATTGCCTCCGGTAGTGATCCAAGTTAGTAAAGGCTTCCATTCCCAGAACACTGGAAGTTTTGACCAAGCAGTCTTCAACTGAGGCAATCTATATAGCATTATCTAGCTAAATCTTGCATCTGGATGATGGGTTTCACGTCCTCAACCTTCGAGTCATTCAATCAACCGTCACCCAAGTGCAAGGACATGACATGACAGACATGACCCCCATGTCCAGGAGTTTCTTCAAAGGTGACCTTCTCTTCGTCGACCTTTCTCTTCATCGACCTCTTTGGACGTCGACCTTTTTGGGTCGTCATCTTCTTTTGGGAGCCCTCAAGGTGAGGTAAGGTCGACTGGATGAAGCCGGATCAGATGCTTTTGGTTTCATGTTTTCATCCCAAAACATCCGAAAATCTCCTCTCTCTTCCAAAACATCTCAAGACATCCAAACAACATCCATTCTTTTTGGTTTCAAAATACGACCCAAACATCATCTCACCCTAAAATCACCTCGACGCTGCATCCCGAGGCCTCCATTTTGGGCGCCGTCGCGGGGGCCCAATTCGTCCGTGCTGTGGCGCCCGCCTATGGCGTGCCGGTTCGGCTGCCCAGGGGGTTTCCGGAAGGTTCCGGATGGGGGTGAAAGAGGGCGAGTGATTGGATGGATGGATGGATGGATGGATGGATGGATGGGAAACAACGACTCTTAGAACAGGGTGCTGGATTCTGCAAGCAGCTGCTCCAGAATTTTTGTGAGTAAGAATTGGTGATCAGGGACACAGGGAGGAGAAATGTTGAGCGAGGAACCCGTGAGCGAGTTAACTTCAGGTGAACTGTCTGGGCTCTGTTTAGCGTTTCTGGATGGCATACTGGCTGGGGGTTGAATTTACGGATACACATTGTGTCCACCAACAAAGTTAGCCAAACGAACAAGCCAGCAAGCAAGCCAACACATGTTTTCGTTTGTAAAGTACTTGTACCTGTGAGCCAACAGACATTTTTTGCTTGTATTGGGTGGCAGGAAAAGTCCTCACAGTCGACACCAATTGGATAGTGCCTTGGGACTATAACAAGCACTGCTGTAAGATGCTATATATATATATAAGGATTCCTAGTGTGGAAGCCATACCACATTGCATGCCACATATCAGAGTCCTGACTGCACTGGATGAGTCCTGTCATAAACATCCCATTCACAGCCAATGTCTTCACCAATCGAACACCGAAGAAAGGTCATCAATCACCCAACACCTCTTCCTGCTGCAACAGATGGTTTTGGAGTTTGAGCTGGACAGTCCTCCCTGAGCGTTGTAGACTCAGCTCAGGTTTTTGTGCACTCTGACCACTGTGCGAAGAAGCTCTTGCCCTGGTTCGATGGCATGTTGGATGCCGACGAGGCTTGACTTGCGCACTGTCAGGTTGGCCCGTTCCGGACATGGGCAAAGAAGGGGAGACCCTATGAAAGTCTGCCCTCCTTCGCACGCCTTAAGACACTTCCATGTGCCTTGGAGGGTGAACAAGAGGCGAATGGTCTTGTCCAGCAGCACCAGGCAGAACTCATCGGCCTGAACGCGAAATCGTTTCAGACCACATCCAAAGTCGACTCTTCACTGGTCTTCTTAGATGTCGATCGTTTCCGGCCATCAGACAATCGTTTCTTGGCTGGATTCGTTTCCACTTGCCTTCTTCATCCTTTTTCACTGTTTTTTGTCCAGATTCATGACCTCTCCCCGCTACTCCAAACCTTCCGACACCAAGTCTCTCCGAAACCTTCCGCCGTGATGTGGTTTCTGTTCCGCGGAACACGGCCCCAAACGGGGGAAATCCGCCCCCCTCCGCCCCAAAGAAGCACTCTGCGCCCCCCAAAAACCCCGACACCACCCGGCTACGGCACCGCTCGGAGCGCAGTCGTACTTCAAGAAGCACGGCGAGCCGCTCTTCTCGTCGCACATGTTGGACCTTTCAGAGGCACCGGGCGACCACGGGGAGACCGCGGGGAGACCGCGGGGCGGGTGCGAAAACGGTGCGAAAACGGGGGCTGCTGCGGCGGCGTGGAGCTTCCAACATGCGAAACGGTTGACGGTTGGTGAAGAATCCCACACAAACATGTGCTAACAGATTTGAAGTCTTGATAATCATATTATACATTTCATATCCAGCAAGTTAATGAATCCCCTCAACGAAGATGTGGAAGCACACTGGTGGAAGCCACGCTCATCTCCACGCTCCTCGTCGCTTCGTCAGAGTCGGTTCATCGAATGGGTGCGTCCTCATCGACCCGTTCATACTCACTGTCCAGGAAGTGGACGAGGAGAACATTGCCATCTGCCAGAAGTACTTGAAACGCTCGGGGGCCTCGGAACAAAAGACTGCGGCCTGGGATAAAGGGAGCCAGCATGTTCAGGTAGTGACCTTGTTTTGATGTAAACATCGCATCCATGTTTGAAGTCACTTAGGCCGCGGCTTTGATTTTTGGTGAAGGAAATAGAACACCGACCTCTGACCGGACCTCTAACCGATCAAGACGGACTGGGCTCTCACTGGGCAGAGAGAGCCCAGACTTGGTTTCGCGGGGGCTTGGACTCCGTGGCACAAACAGGGCTTGGACTCTGTGGACTCTGTGGACGGATTTCTCTGGCCGGTCGATGAAAAAGGACATCGCCGGGACTCGCCGGTCGGTGCGGTGTGAAGGACCGGTCGTGATCGGCGGAGCGAACGAAGCAGGCATGGCACCCATGAAGATCATCCTGGAGATGGAGTCAGAGCCTTAGTGGACTCACGCGACGAAGCAGTCTCGACGGTTTCAGCGAAGCAGTCTGAGCCGCAAGAAACATAAGGAGAAATGAGGGCCAGGGACATGGGAAGATGTGGGAAGGACACAGGGAAAGGCACTTGGTGTTTGAGGCTTCAAGAGTCTGACCAAAGAGCCACAGAGTCCAAAGAGCCACCTTGAGTTTCTTGTTGTCCTTCATTACAAAGGAGCTGGGCCCCTCATTGCAGAGGTTCCAAAGAAGGTCCTCATTGCAAGAGCGGCTTAGTTTAATTAATCGAATCGTTCCCAGGGGTTCCAACTATGTAACTGTAGACCCAAGCAACAACCATCTTGGTGCCTTTGAAATGCATCGAGTCCGACTCGTGCCTTGAGGATTGGCATTACTGGAGGTGTCGAGGACATCTGGGACCTGGTGGCGTGTGTTTCATGACATGCGGGTTTGGGACGCGTTTCCTTTAATAAAGGATTTATGGGGCTCTAAAGTTGTAGGGTCACTGGTATCCACCAATCGATTTGCGTCGATTTCTGTGAGTAAACAAATCCAAAGATCCAGGTTTGAAGAACGGGATAGGTCAGTTAACATTCTCAGGGGTGTGCTATTGCCCATGAATCATTGAACCGTAGCTGTTGTGCTGGTCTAGTAGACACCCCTCAGGTCAAGATGCGCCGCACGAGCTCTTTTGCTTCCCAGGATGGTGTCGACAACACGGGCGCGTCCAAAGACAAGTTGTACTCCACACCAGAAGATGTCTTCAAGGCACCCACATGGCTGCAAGCTATACAAAGACTGGCCATTTTGTTCAAACATAGAAGTTGACAGACTTGCCATTTTCCCACATCAGAAGTTAGCAAACGCCGGACGAACGGCACAGTCGCGTCACGGTCTCACGCTTTCTGCACGGTGATTCGCACGAGGTTTATGAAGGGCTCAACCCCATCTCGCACATGTTCACCATCGCCGGGACCATCAGCGACGTCGCCAGTTCGGTGGTGTGGATGGGGTGAAGAAGAGACATCCAAGGGTGCCTCCAGTGCACCTGTAGAACCTCATGAATGCAGTAAAGCGTTTATGAAGCAAGCATACACTTATCAACCAAAGGAGCAACATATTTCCAGATTAACATGTAACATCATGTGTATCAGAATTATGTCATGTGGTTTCTCGAAGCTTTCTCAAGTTTCTCGTGCAAATAGAAACTGGCTAACATGAGAACAGGAGTTTTGTTTGCTTCTATCCATGGTGATGTGAAAGACTTGTTTACCCCATTTCTCCAAGGTGGGACTGCATGCAGCACAGATCTCGGCAATCCACGAGCGACGAAGCCGGCTATCTCGTCTAAATAGGAAGTTCTTCCTCCAAATCTTGAAAGTACAATCTACAATATAAGATATCAATGTAAGGAGCGCCGCAATCTATTGTAGCTGATTGGGTTCGGGTTCAGTTCCTGAACTAGGATTTTTGTAAGGTTATTCGTGGGATCTATGAGATTCAAGGGCAAGGGTGTTGTGTGTACTTCAGGTCATTCCATCATTCCAAAGACCAGACATATAGAGCGGCAGGAAAAAGACCTGCCATACGAGAAAAGGATCAAGAGGCACACCGCCCAAGAGAGGTTAAGTGGCCTTATAGCATTCTACAGGGGTACCTATGGGATAGTCGAACTAGGGTTCTTCAACCTCTCCTGGACTCCTGGACCTTGGTTTTTTACAACGTGTGCTCCTGCGAGGCAGCCGCCTTTGGCAACGTCCATGGGGTCTACAAGGTTTTTCGAAGACGGGCTTCGGACGGGACGGGCGTTTCTGAAGAGAGGAAAGGCCAATCTGCACATCCATTCGGCCAATTTGATCTAAAGTAGGCTTCCAGCACACTCATGGTTTACAATGGATTCCATTTGTTTGGAATGCTGATCATGCTTTCACCACAGCTGAAACTCGTAGGCCAGCCACACCGGCCCTCCGTTCCCTCCAGGCCGGGAATGTGGTGCTTCGCCCGGAGCTCCTGGGGGAATTCCAGGCGTATGCGGAGAAGAAGACCGGAGTGAGCAAGGCCCGGTGGGTTCCGCCGCGGAACCGCCGAACCGCCGAACCGCCGAACGCTTCGGGTGGAGCGGAGCGAAGAAGCGCACCAGCGCGAAGCGCGGAAGGCGGTTGGAAGCGAGCGGAAGCTGGGATTTTCACACAGGTTTTTTGGGTTTGAAGAATTAGGGTCTCGCAAGTTGCTGGAGATGATTTCTGGATGCGAGACAGGTTCACCATATAAATTTAATATACTGTACCTGGAGCCTACTGTAAGTGACCTCTATTTTGGACCACCAACCACCCCAAATATGGCCAAACTTCCTATCAAAACAGAGGTCATGTTAAGGGTTCTAGGCATAACGCTTCTAGGATGTTCTAGGCATACGGTTTATGTCTGGTCAAACGGTTCTAGGATGTTCTAGGCATACAGTACATGTCTGGTCAGTTGTCTGGTCGGAAAGTGTCCTCTGGGATGCTCCGGAGCACCTCCCTCACCCGACCTGCTGGGGGTCACCCGACCTAGGAGGGGACCGTTGGACGAATCCATGCGGTCTACGAACCTGGTGGACGATGGATTTCTGAGTGCGAACGCTTGGGATGAGTGAACCTTAGATATCCTTGGATCAACTCATATTTTTCCAATTGAAGCCACCAACGAGATTCTTTGTTGGTGTTCCACACATCTGAAGATGTCCCGTAAATAACACGCCACTTCACCCCTTCCACCTCCCCTCCCGCGCTTGAGCCGCTCTTCTTCGTGTTCCACGGCGGAAGTGGATCAGAGAAGCACCACATCACCACGGCGCTCAACAACGGTGCTCGGCACCCCGGTGCGATGCGAGCTTCGGTCACCGAAGCGAAGCACCAGCGAGCTGAAGGTTTAATGGGGGGCGAGCTTCGGAGCGGCGGAGCGGAGCGTTGATGGAGAGAGTTTGGATTCCCTATGGATCCACATACCTTCGCACGGTGATTGGAGACTATTCATCTAGGCTTGGAGAGCCCACATACCTGAGAAGGTGGCAGTGGATCCATAGGGATGATAAGGTGCGACTCCTCTGTTTGAACATGGTTGGTGCGACTCCGTGCTAGTCCCGGGTCTCCCCAGATCCTAGTTTGTGAGCAGCTGAATCGGCTCCTGAGAAATCAGCTCTTTCCTTGTCTTTCAGCTGATGGCGAAAGTGGGGACTAGATGGCACCAGGGCAGTAGATGGCTTGTTGGACCTACTCTCCCTGGAACGTCCTCATGGAAGTGGAGTTCACCACCACCTGTTGGTAGTGGATTTCATGGTCTTCCAAGGGCACTTCCATGTGAGTTCGGAGTGACTCGTGATTCGCATGCCGAAATCCAAAGAGTCCTCCCACCAGGCCCACCACAAGAGCGGCCCGGGCGGCAGACGAGTCGAGCTTTGGGCTTTGGGATCCCACGCGGCAGACCTCAGGTGTGCAAGATGAACGTGGACACGGACACCCAGTGGGCTTACTGGGAAGGCGCGCAATAAGGAGCATGCGGTGAATGAGAAGCAGCGGCAGGGCATTGCCAGATAGTCGATAACGATATGATATAGATATATATATATATATACCTGGACCATCCAAGGGGTGCCCAATGGAAGCCTATAGGTAGTGTGGGGTAGTCCAGCCAGGACACCCGATGGTCCTGGTAGGTTATGAACAATTTCTGCAGGTACAGAGGCATGGTTTGCCGGTTTGTGGAGAAGACATGTTGCAGACTATCTTTTGAACTAGACAACAACTGGGAGTATGAATGAGCAAGGGGTTGGATCACTTGACATTGTGGCCTACTTGTACTGTAACTCCTGTTTGGTGCGGATGCCGGCCGCTCACGGTCCATGTTTCGACATCACGTCGTCACCAGGTCACGAGACCACCCTCGACCCACAGTTGTGGCGTGTGAAACACCCCCAGGTCACGGTGTGTCTGAAGGGTCGAAGCTGTGCTTTCGGTCCGGGCATGACTTTCAGATGGCACCCAGCACTTTTGCAACCGTCTGACTCGACCCCAAACGCCTGACTCGCGCAGCGTGTTGGTCACGAAGTTCAGCCGAATCGGCACGGCGCCCTCGAGCGAAACTGACATCGCCAAAGCCACAGATGAGATGCAGTGAACGTTTGGGGAGATGCTGTGACTACACGATTGGGGGAGCAGATCTTCCACCCATGTTTTATCAGGCTCTTTGGGAAACACCGAGCCACTTTGGAATCAGCCTTGGCAGGCAGAAACCCGGAGGCAAGGATCTAAAACTCATCACAGCATTCACCACGGAGCGAAGCAGAGAAGAAATAGGGCTTGGGTCGACCCGGCGTCCGCGTCCGGCCGCCAACCTCGTGCCGCTCGAGGCCTCCTGCACTTCTACCGCGCCAAGGAGGGCTATTTGCAGGGCCAGATTGGCAACCCTGAGGGCGAGGACCGGGCGGGTTGGGTGGAGGGCCCGGGGGGCCGGGCCACATCAGCGAATGGATCTGGCGCGGTGACGTGGCCTCAGCCAGCGGCCCGGTTGCGGAAAGCTGTGCCAAAGCAGGATGTGGCCAGCTCTCGGGCGGTTCAATCTCGAAGAAACGTGGCAAGTTGATGTCAGGCGATCCTGAGCTTTTGGTCTCACACCGTCGGTTTTCCCGCTTGCTGAAAACTGGATCACCTTTTCTGGCGGACCCCACTCAACAGGAAGAGGTAGCAAGTTCACCTTACACTGCCTTACACCTTCCTTTTCCAGACCCCAAACCAGGTTCCGTTCGCCTACTACATGTTGCTGCACCGTTCTTCTCTTCTCCACCCTTCGCCCACGAGGACAAGCCCAACAAGAGCTATTACGACCCCCGCAAGTGGATCCGCGAGTCGGAGACCTCCATGGCCACGCGGCAGAGAGACGGATGGAGGGAACGTATGCCCACAACTCACCAAGAAGCTCTCCTGGTGTCTATGGGCTGGAATTTGGGTAGTGTTCGTAGCAATTATAGGCCATATTGCGTTTGTACATGCACACCTCTATGTAGGAGGGTCGTCTGGTGGTCTACAACCTCCTAGTGATCACCATCATGGAGAGCAACACTGAGCATTGGAATAGGGTCTGTCGTTGCGGTCATGTGCTTTTCCTATCAAAAACGGGGGTCATGGGTATCAGTCTATGTATCAGTGAATTGGTTTCAGTCGGAAACGCTGGCATCTGTGAGAGGGGATAGGGAAGGTGACAGAATGGGCCCAAGAAGTGCTATAGTCTTTGAACAGTTTTGAACTACCCCTTGTGGGAAAAGCTACGAAACTCACATTGAACTTCTCAGCTATATGCTGAGTTGGAGAGAAGAATGGTCTGCCAGACATCCGTTGTTCAGTTCGAAGAACATGTACCATCCCAGAGACTTGGTTTTTCAGGCTAAGACGATGGGGTCTTCTGATGAGATGTCATGGGGTCTTCTGATTCACTGCCCAGAATGGTAGAACAGGTATTCACTACCCCCTCCTCCCAAAAGAGATGTGGATTTCTTAGATCCTGTCAGACGGTGGACCTCGACATCACCGATATTTCGGTGGACCGGCCAGCCCGCGTGGGGAACCACGATTTGTCTCGGTCCCGGTTGCCCGAGGTGAAGCGAGTCAAGGAGGCCTGTGCTGATCTCAACAATGCCTGGAGCCCCTGGATCTGACTTCCGGAGTGTGCCCGGAACAGTCTGACGTGATCCATCCTTGGTGTCAGCTAGTGACAGCAAAGCTGAGCTAGTTTGATCGCCCGCCCACTATAGGTTCCATCACAAATGGTTCCTTCACCTCCATCAGTGTCTTCACCAAACCCATCACCAACACCCCATGTCGGTCTTCACGTCGCGCCCCGTGCGACGGGTGACCGCCGGAATTGGACCTCCGCCAGGTTTGAAGACCTTCCAGCGTTGGGCTCTGAAGCACCGCGTTGGGCCCAGGTGCGCTTGCTCGGCACACCGTGAGAACCCGCTGGGAAGGAAGTCGCTGGTGGTTTAACACCGGCGGGAATGGAAGATGGGCGGGAAATGACACACGCGCGGTGAACACAGACTTCCAGAGGGGGCCGACGACAAGCAGTTCACCTGGGATGTATCCTATTTCGTTCGCATGATTCTCCGAGCGTGCCGAAAAGATGGCCACTGGTCTGTCCAATGGTGGGTGCCCAGGTGCTTCGTTTGATTCCGTTTTCTTTTTGGGTACGGCTCTAAAACCAACGTGGCATCTCCGCTGGAGCTCCTTTTAGGAGCTGTTTCAGGTCGTTTTTCTGGTCCGAAAGGAGGATGGAGAGCTTTGGGAGGCTTGGGAGCGCCAAAACTGCTCCCCAAAAAACTCCAAAACAGCCCACTGATCGGCTGACATATGAGCAGGACACCTGCAACGTGAATGAGTCACAACGGGACAGCCAGCTGATTCGACAGCCCTTTTTAATGCCGAGAAGAGAGGTGTCATGGTAGATATAGTTCATGGTAGACGTGGCATTTTAGAACCTGAACATCTACATCTACTTGATTCAGTGGACATCCCCAATCTTTCCCTCAACTCCCGGAGTAAACTTCGCTCTTAGTCTCTTGTGTTCTCGTGTCCTGCATAGATGCTTCTGGGAATCATTTAGAGATGCTTCAGGGGTCATACCGGGGTGCTACGGATATTCGCATACAGTCCTTATGTTGTGATACAGTTTGATTCATTTGGTGGTCGTGTTTTCAAAGTCAACCTGTACCTGAGATGATGGATCCCCATGTCCCATCGCTTGTCCCATGGTGCACCAAGCCCTTCACTCAGCGACCTTGAAGTTCCTCAGTCTTCGTTTCCCACGTAAGATGCTGAGCAGGACTTGATCAGGTCAGGTCTGGAAAGCACACATGAACAACACAACTGGCACTGCACCTCTTAGCACTTTCGGGTTTTCTAGGGCTTTCTGGTGTTTTTCCTGGCTTGCCTCCAAAAAAGACGGTGTTTGCAGGTGCAGCCGGAGTGGAGTGAGTACTCGGTTTCGCCGGGTTTCACATGGTGGGGTGGGGCTAAAGTGTCGCCACTCCGCGGACGCGGGCGCCGGAAGAGAGGGCTCGGCTGACCGACGCGTTCAGGGACAAACGACCATATCTCGACCCACCTTTGCTCAAGCTGAGTGCACATCGCAAATGTGTAAAAGTTACTGCAACCCATCACATCCATTCGATGTGGAACAACTACCTGTGTGTGCATATTGAAAAGCGAGTGATTTCTTTGTTTTTGCAGAAAGCTTGGGGACACGTCATTCGCGTCCGATCAGTCAAGCCGATGTAGATCATCCAAGTGGCCGACACTGGCGCAGTTGAGTTAGCTTAGCTATTTTGGTGCCACCCCTGTGGCTCCAACTTTCCCCGAGAAGGTAGTTAGACTTCCCCACCTTCTGAGGATGTGATGCGAGACCTAGGGAAATGTGGCTATTGGCTGAGATAAGTCTCTTAGGCCTTGGGTCAGCCCTGCTATCTTTTCGATCGAAGACCCAGCTCGAGAATACCGAACAGTGTTCTCCGTTGTGCGCCACCAAGCAAAACATACCGGTCCATATCTAGTGTAGGGCAGGGTAGTCTATTGATGACCTGTTGGATGATCAATAGGTATATGTGCACACGGTATATGGTCTTGTTCCCTCAGAACTGTGATGCTTGCGTTCCCGCGGAATGGAAACACGTCCCCCAAAGCAATTTAGCATAGGTCTCTGACATGGAACTTGAGTTTTGACCGACAAAACAGATGATATTTTCCCCGTAAACGTCCTCTTGGGGACCCCTGCCACCAAAAATGATACCCCAAGTGGCCTTGGATAGATTGCAAGTGCATGCAAGCACCAGTTTTATCATGTTTTGCGGTATCTGCAAATCCATTCGACCGCAACGACCATGCACACGCCCCAAAAAACATCAATCCCAAGGGATCAGATCCTCTTTGCGCCAGAAGATTCGCGTACCGGAGCTTTGGACTGCTTGGGTGTGCCGTACTTCAAATCCTCGAACTGTTGGTGAGTGAAAAAGATGTGCCTGCTGAGTTGCCGCCAAGGTTTGTCCAGTTGATGAGACAAATCTTCTGGCTGATGGTCTTGGGCTCCCTGAAGCAACCCACCGCAGACCTCAAACTGGTCGATCCGACTCATCGACCTAGGAAGACAGGTGCAGGTACCCGCTCAGTCACTGGTCGAGGGTTCTGAACCACTCACCTACCCAGTTTTTGTGAGTTTTGTGCAGGCATAGGCTTAAAGACCCCACAGGGCAGCAGGTGGTCTTTCCTTCAAAGGCTTTAGGCTTGGTCGTTGACCCATCGGCGCCGCGAAAAAACGGTCAGCTGGCTGCGCGTTCACCCGGAGGGATCCGGGAGAGCGTGTAGTCTGATTAAGACCTCCTCACCCAGCATTTGGAGGGTGTTCGACCTACCTTTGCATGGAAGTTGGGATTCAGAATCAACCGTCCAGACTGGACGGGTGTTTTCCTCTTGGCCACTCCGACCCCATGCTCACCCCCGCCCTTCTTGCTGTGTCGAAACAAACACCCAGGTGTCGAAGTGTCGAACACTCAGCTTGCTCTCGCTCCGTGCGGAGTTTGAGGTGCTACATGACTTTGACGGGAGCAATTCATCTGAACTATGGAGGTGCTTGGACGCGGCGCGGCTCTTCCGGGCCGCGTCCGGTGCGGTGCTTCACCTTCCTGGCTTTGGCGGAGTGCTGGGGCGTCTCGTGAGGTTGTGACACTCCGACTGGCGACCTTGGACCATTTCGGGTCCATGTAGGTCTTCCATACATGAAGTGTCTCAGTGAGAAGGACTCTTTGAACCTTTCCATCCATAACTCGGGGTCACTGACCCCGCACTACTGGGCTTGGCTCCAGCTCTCTGTTCGTCTCCGGTTGCAGGTGGCACAGCTGGCAAGGTAGACCTGGATCTTCCAACAATGCAGAACTTTCACAACTTTTGGGTTTACTGATGGAAGATCCAGGTATACCATAGTATACCAAACAGCAAAACCGGCCTTGGTTGGTTTGTTTCTTATACACATGTTCGCCTTTTGGTTGGCTTTACTGATGAAGAAGCAGACATGTTGCATAGTTGGAAGATCCAGGTATACAAACACTTTTTCCAGGCCTTTGTACCCCTTTTGTCGTCACGCACACAGAGTCTCCAGAGAAAAGCCAACCGTATCCCCCCTCGTTTGGCCACGGACGCAAGACTGGGCGCCACCAAAAGGAGGATGGAACGGATCCGTGGATCTCCTGTCTTCGAATGCGTGTTCATCACAGGTGCCCCTGCCGGGCCTGCTGGAACAGGGAAGACTGAAACGACGAAGGCCTGAAGTGGGGGAACGACAGGGGAAGGACGGCGGTCATTGGGTGAGTTCTAAGGTTGTTTCGGACGTCGATGATCCATCCAAACGGTGTTAGGCGTGTTTTGTGCCATCGAAAGACATGATGATGGTTTGATTCAGGGCTTCCGCGGGGTTTTGTGAGTGCAGCGGAATGTTCCTCGAGTTCCAGCTTGCAGAGCTCCTAGTCAAAGGTGCTAGATCGTGCTGATCCAGCTCATTTGTTTGTGTCAAGGGATGATGAAACAAAGGTCAGAAGCTGTGCTCAACGGTCGTTGCTCTGGCGTCCGGCAGAGGATTTGGGGAAGGCCCTGGCGGTGCCGGTGATTGTCTTCAATTGCTCAGATGGCGCTGTTCGCAGATGACGGGGGTGGTGGGCGCCCGTGTGGTGGGCTGGCAGTTTCCACCACCATGTGTCGCACACATAGGAGAACGACCCTACCAGCTCCTGAAAGGAAAACATGGGTCCTGTACTATAGAGATGCTTTTCAGAGGCACCTCCACCGGGCACCCACACTCCAAACAACTTCACGTTCACCGGCACGGCTGTGACTAGGTTGAATGCACCCCACAACTGACTGGAGCTTAGGAAGGAATGAGGTAAGGCTTCCTCCTACTGCATTCCCTTCTCCTGGTCCTCTACGATCTCATCGGCAGTGTTCCATGTTGGCTCGTTGGAGAAAAGGCTGCCCAGGTTTTTGAACCAGTAGACTATTGTGCGCATGATGGATCTCACAGAAGAATTCACCTAAGCCTCTGGCTTCACCACTGGTCGTTTGTGCGTGTTTTGCCGGCAAAGATTTTGTTCCATTGAAATTGGAGGAAACAATCTCTGCAGTACTTCACTAGGTCATATGTGTTGAGTTTAGTCCATCACCAAGATGTGTTTCACCTGAACCAATTTGCATGGTCCCACCTCTTCCGGTATTGTATGAGTTTCACCTCCCACTGCTTCTTCCCCAGTCTGGGGGGTTGAATCCACGCTGGAGTTCCAAGGCCTGGATTACAAGATCATGGGCCGCTTCTTCAGTGGCCTCGCCCAGGCGATGCCCCGAACCTCGGAACCTCGGGCGGGGTGGAGGTGCAGGTGGCAAAAGGCTAAGGCTTTTGGTGGGTGGTGTCTCTTTTGAAGGGGTGGGAGTTGCAGCAGAGGACGGTGTGTGGAAACGCAGCATGAAGCATCAACCCGAGGCTTCGCTTCTCCAGAGTCAAGAAATTGGCTTCTCAGGAAGGAACCAGCTACAACAGGGGTGTTTCATCACGTGTAGCGCAACACACCTGAACATTTGTGAATCTTTCCGACACAAAAAGACGCACCTGGAGGCATCCCTCATGAGTCAGACCGTTCCATGTTGCGGGTGCAACACGAAAGACGGACAGGCTAGGCGGCCCAGTGTTTCGCTCACCCCTGCAGTTTTTGGGGATGAGCTAGGATGAGCTAGGGGATGGACGGTTCAGAGCACAAGCACCTGGGATCATCACGCCAATCCTTTGGGTCACGGGGCCGTCGCTTGGCCCTTCGGCCCGGTCGTTGTTTCAGTCGTTTCGTGGTCCCGAAAGGCGGGTGCATGGGCCTGCTTCGATGAGTTCAACCGGATTCAAGTGGAAGTCCTGAGCGTTTGGGCTTGCCCAGCTGATGCGTTGGTGTAGTTAGCGGAGTGTCTATTGGTTGTCATTCTTGTTTGGTTGATGTTTGAGGTGCTCACTCCAGCCATGCGATGGCGTAACGTCTTTCCCCTCGTCGTAGATCTTGAGTTTCGGTCCAGAATTCTCACACCTAAGAATCCGGGCCCCCCTAAGGTCCGGTGTCGGGTCCGACCCCTGCGAAGGTGTCGGGTGGGATTCTGAGGGAAAGCACCTATGGGTCGCATTGTGATTGGAATACCATGGGGAATCTACCGATCGCCTAGAGGACGGAGGGATGCCTTAAGGGATCCCTTTTGTTCGGGAGCTCTTTTTGAGTTCATGAAGAAGTGGACACGGTGAAGGAGTAGAAGTGGAAAAGTGCTGGACCTCTGGCCTTAAGGGCTCTACACTCCTACACCTGGTGAGATGATAGTGGAAGGGGAAAAAGACCCCTTGAATTCTTGAATGACCATTTTCCCCGTTCAAACAGTGGTTTTCCACTTCCATGCTTCGCGTCGCTTTTTCACCAGCTCAGGTCATTGCTCAACAGATGCTCACTGTGACACATGCCATCCGTGCACGGAAGGACGCGATGGGGCGGTTTGGGTGGGTGGAAGGAGGCGACCCGACTGCGACACCTACCGACGGCGTCGGAGCGAAAGACCGGTGTTTTCGGGTGGATGGAAGGGCCAGCGGAATCCGGGAGAAGAAGCTGAAAAGGATGCCAAGAAAACTGACTGGTGCTTAGCAGGGAATGAGGGAATGGATCCAATAGAATCTCTATTGGGGGCTCATTCCCTTATTCCCTACTAAGGACCAGTCAGAAAAAGATCCATTAAGATCCTCAAGATACATGGTGTGGCAAACCCCTCTAGCCTCTGCTGCAGAGCTGCTCGCATGGGCTCTGAAACATGATTTTAACATGCGAAGACCACATGTTTTCGAAGACGATCCAGTGGTTTTGAGAGTCCATGGTCAATCTGCAGGAAGGGTCACGATTCTTGTGCCACCCTCAAGATCCCACAAACGGTACCCTCATGAAGGAATAAACTGAAAAGGGTGCAAGAATCCGACTGGTGTGTACTTTCAAACACGCTGTGTTTTGATAGGCTTCTTCTCTGTTTTCAGGAAAACCACCCTGTGGGTCCGGCTCGCTTTGTCAGCTGGTGGGTTGGCGGGTTGGATCATGGGATCGGCAAGCGGTACAGGTCTAGGCCTCTTTTGGGAGGCCTGGTTCAGAATCCAAGTGCCACCAACCTACAAGGTCCCACTCGCTGAGGGGACCGAACTTCAGAAGTTTCTTCCAGAAGCGATCCAAAAGATCCTTCCCATCCCAGCAACACCGAACCTGCCAAAACCAACGAGGGTGTGTAAGTCTTCTATCGCCACGGTGCACGAGGAGACGTTTGAGTTTGTGGGGAAGGAGATCCCACTGAACCCACGCTTCGGGGCTGGGGCCCTGTGGGCTGTGGACCGTTGTCAAGCCCTAGAGCTACCAGCTCTAGCAAATTCTTACCCATAAATCCAACAATTGCCACTAAAGAAAGATGCTAAAAGAATCCTAGAAGGACTCTGAAACACCCCAGATTTCCCTACTCAATTGATTGCCAAAAAGATTCCAGCTTCATCCAGCTTCAGTGTTTGTGTCCAGTGCTTTCTCTCTTCCTTCGAAGCTTCCGTGCTCCCTGCCTTGACCAGCCTGGACGGCCCATCTTCCGAGGTCTTCATCACCATGAACCCCGGCTACGCCGGGCGCGCGGAGCTGCCGGACCGGCTTCAAAGACGTGGGCGACCGGAGAAAGTGCTTAGGCAGTGCAAGCTGAATGAGGAAAGAACCTGCAAGCTGAAACAAACAAACAACTCAATCTTTACATTGTTTGAACTTATCACCCATCTTGTAAGTTGGTAGGAAATTGGTTGGAAAGGCAGAAAACGACCTGAGAAGGGACCACCACCAGCGGATGAAAATCGGGGGGGGTTCTGAAGGTTCGCTGTGGTGCCGAAAGTCCTTCCATCCTTCAGCATCCAAAATTCGGATCCTTCAGCATCACCGGAATCTGCGCAGTTTACTGTTCTCTTTCGGATCCTCCTCGTCCTCGTGCTGAGACCTTCCTTGCGGCAGACCGTCCTCAAAGGTGAGTGACCCACGCTGTTTGGATGTCCTGTCTGGGAGAATGCAGTGTTGGGTAGTCCATATTGGACACCCAGACAGGTCCTGAGGTTTGATTTTTTTGTGTTGTCGGAGTTTTCTGATCTGTGCTGTCACCCACCAATTCCCGCCTTGATCCGGAAAGACAACAGGGCCGAGCACTTCGTTTTGGTCCCTTGACATTGAGTCCGCCAAGATGGAACTAGGGACTGAAACCTCCCCAAATCCGCCGTTTCTCCGTCCAAACGAACCCCTTCACCCGTGCGGAACCCGTTCGGAAGACCTCGCGGTGGCGATCGGGGCCTTTTCTCCATCCACGCTGCGGAGCTCCGCAGGACAACTTGAAATCTCTGTTCCGACCGGTGGCAATGATGGCCCGGATCCATGGCGAATCCATGGCGCCACCCGATCAAGTTCCGTTAGACTCGCTGACTCGTGCGAGTGCGGATCCACGTGCAAGTCTCGGGCGACATGATCGGGCGGAAAAGGCGCCGTGGGTTGAGAAAGCAACATGGGCTACAAAGAGGGCAACCAAATGTTTGAATGGTGGGAGTAGTATTGGAGGAAGGGACCACACATTCGTGTGTTTCGCTGAGAAAATGAGACTCAGCAGCTTAAGCTGTTTCAGACCGAGGCACGAACCAAGAATGCCTCGGAAGACGACCTAGTCTCAAGTCCTGGGCCGTAATCAATCGCTTTGACGCCACCTTCGCCGTGTTGGACGAAGACATGGGGGCTTTTGGGAGCGGCCGAAGCACAGGTCGGCCGCCACTGCGGTCGGCGCCCCCAAGGGTCGCACCACGGCGTCAGCAACTTCGACCCCGTCGAGGGAGAAAGATCCCAAATAGTCCGCCCTGGAGATCGATCGAATCCAGAGCAGACGGAGCCCGACCCTTCGACACCGGTCAACCCGGTGGCCTTGCCCACTTCGACGCCGCAGAGGTCCCAGACTACTGCCTCATTGCGGAGATCATCCTCTACTCGGAGGACCGTGTGGCAGCGTGTCGCAGCGGAGCGTGTCGCAGTGGAGCTCCGCAGTGGTTCTGTTTCGTGGCAGTCAGTTTTCTGTTTTTTTTGTTTTGTCTTGAAGCCGAGGTAGGCGTTGACCAAAAGCAGAAGTGATACCAAGACCATCCAAGACCTAAGTGACCCAACCATGCAAGAAGATCCGCTCAAAGGCTCATTTGATGATATGTTCATTGATGTGTTCTTTCGACATCTTTTGGATAGATATGCCCCCTCGTAAGATGGGCAGGTGCCTGAAAAACCCAGAGGCATGTGGCCATCTTTGCAGGAATTCTTCACAGTGGCATGTGGAGAGTCAACGATGAACCTACGCCCCCTTCCACCCTCATCTACACTTCCCTCTGCTGTTTGGGTCAAAGGAGTGGTTCATAGGCACACGAACCCGAACACGGAACCCATGGACCCTCGGGTTTTGGCACCGTGAAAGACGGTCTTCCGCCAAATCAGTAGCTTTTTCAGGGTCCGGTTTTTGAGCGTTGTACATGTTAGTCTGAAGTCTACTGCATCCCTTCTGTTCCACTTCATCCACGGCTCCAGGGCTTTGGTCGAGCCACGGCTCTGGCGCGGAAGATGGTGAACCTGTGCGCCGCCGAAGAGGGCTCTTCCGTTTGCGGTGCGCGAAATGACCATTTGAGGGAAAAGGCTGTGGTCATTCCATCATGAAAGCCATGGATTTTTCATTGGTCTTTGGGCTTCGTTGGATTAATTGCTTGTTCGTGGATAGCTCGGATTCTGGCGGGGTGAAGCCACTGACGCGACTGATAGCTCGGATTCTGGAGACGAAGGGTGTACCTCAAATTTCTCCCAGTTGAGCGTTGAAACATATGGAAACCACCACACACACCAAAAGAAGTCACTTTTCTCCTTGAGCAACGTCCTAAGACTTGGGCATACTGAAACCAATTTTTGTTCAGAAGTCTTTTCCCAATCATCTGATGGGCTCCCAACTCATCCATCCTCTCCCCAACTCGTCGAGATCTCGTGGTGATAGAGATTTCAGAGATGATTCCAAGGAGGTGATAGAGGGGTTGTCCATGTAGGTCAGCATCCAGTTTTCACAAGGTTTGGTTGGCACCTGGATCCTCCAAGCTACCCTTTTGGCTTTAAAGAGATGCCACGATTCGGTGCGTCCGGCCTGTGTTGGGGTCCGAGAGGCGCCATGTGTTTCACCTTCTGTTGGAAGGTCCGTGTACCCAATCCGTGAGGTGCCTGAGTCAGGCACAGTGCCTGTTGGGACGTTCTTTTGGTTGTGTGGGGTTAGTGTCATTGTTGCGTGGTCCTGGACGATCAAAGATGCCCACATCCCGATGATCAACGTGGAGCTCAAATACATATTTAGATGCCATGGGCCATGCGATTCGTTTACCTTATGTATATATATATATAATATAATATATTATAGACTACAGATATACCAGAGCCCCTCAAGGATTATGTTCAATAGAATTCTGCCGTTTCCAAGTATAGATATTCGGTATATCGATCTACAAGAATCTCTCACCTGCTGTTTCAGGTACAGCCTCTCCAGTGAGCAGCTGTCCAAACAGGAGAAATCGCACCGTGGGAATATTCGTGATGTTCATGTCCCCAGTGTTACTTAAGAATGCTTATTTTTATGATGTTATATGTGTGTTTTCAGTTTTTATGCTCGAATCCTTGGTTTCCGCACATTTCAGGAGAACGTGCATGTAAAGGAACACAAAAGTGTAAATATGTGGCCTTTCTGAACAAGATCTGCAACCCAGCTCGTTTGGTTCATTGGAGCATTCCAAAAAGCACCGAAAGGTCAACTTCTTTGAAAGCAAACATTGCTGAGTCCGTGGAACATAATCTACAAGGCCTGGCGAAAACGACCCATGTGCCTTGAACCCCTCCAAGGCTGCAAAAGCCTTGAGAATTGAGAATGCTCTTCTGTACACTCGATGGTAAACCGTCAAAGCCTCACCAAACCCCTCTGAAAGCTGACTGAACTCGTTCCAAAAAGAGTGCTCGTTTTTTATGCCCTGGGACCAAAAACGGCTTGCTTCCCACAAATGCGCACGATTTCCAAGTTGGTGCACGAACAAAGATATATATATATATATATAATATAAGGTAGCAAACCACAAAGTGGACACATTAATGTGCAACAATGGGGCGTCAAGGTATAACAATAACCTGACGGGAAATTTGGAGGTCTAGGATCCATTTGATTGCTTCATGTTCCAAGTAAGCGGGCAGCAGGATGGCAGGAGGGACCAATCGATTGTGATCAGACATATCCACATACAACCATGTTTGAAAGGAGTGAACAGCATTTGGAAGGCTGCAATGGTGCCAAATGTAAGGACAGTGCAGGTATATGGATTGAAATGGATTGAATCAACACCTTGCACACCTCCATATACTGTAGGAGTCCAGTGCCCCATGATCTCATATCCAAAGCAACCCGAGACCAGGACCACTACGACTTCGGCATGCGAGCAGTGAAGTCAGTTCTGGTCATGGCCGGGCAGCTGAAGCGGAAGTACCCCACCCTGGTGGAGGAGCCGAGTCTTTCACCGTCGACCCGAAGATCGGTCGTGACGGTGTTGCGGCGTTGGAAGAACAGTCTATAGATGTCTCTAGAGAGATTCCGAAGAACATGAGGGAAGGCATGAGATGTCTCTTGGTGCCGGTCACCAACTACGAAGTAGTCGTAGTCTTCAAAGGCAGACCGAGACCGGACCGTCGACCCGCCTGGATGAGGTAGGTATCACCAAGCACTCAACTGCTTGCCGACATCACCCCCAACCGGTCACCAGGAGGTTAATACGTCAGCGGACCCGGCGAACGCCCCCCCCAAAAGATGGACATTCCGAAAGCACGGAGCGACACCGAAGGACGGAGTCATCGGCACGGAAACAACACCCGCCAAGCATGCCATCACCTCCCAAAAATCCTAAATCCCAACATGATCTTGCGGAGGGAATTCAATTCTTATGCAACACCTCCATTTTCATCCATGTTCTACAGACCCTTAACAGCAGGGCGGGGTGGGGCAAGCAGGGCGGGGATGGCAGGACGTCACGCTGATCCGAGCTTTGAGGGACTCCAATGCCCGGGACGTCCCAGCCGACGCGACGCGACCGCGGCGACCGCGTCTCCCGGGGGTCGACTGGGGCGACTCGTTTCGGAAGATATCTGAAACACTTGTTCCTTTGGGGCAAAGTTTGTTCCTCATTCCATCTTATTCCCCGCGAAGTCGCACCAGTCATTTGTTTTTTTTGAGGCTTTGCGGGCAGGTGTTCGTCCTTTCCAAACTAAGGATTGGACCATCTTTGGTCAGAGTAGAGAAGTGGACAAGGTCCATTTTTGCTTTCTGTCAGCCTCACCGTCTCACTACACTTGTAATTATCCTTCTTGTACCCGCTCTTAGCCTGGAGGCTATCGCTAGTAGGTTGGAGGCCATCCCTATTAGGTTGGAGGCCATTGCTAGTAGTTTGGAGGCCATCCCTATTAGGTTGGAGGCCATTGCTAGTAGTTTGGAGGCCATTGCTATTAGGTTGGAGGCCATTGCTATTTTTATCCGGGAAGCTCTGGAGAAGGCGGTCAGGTCGCAGGTCGCAGGTCGGTCTCGGTCTCGACGCTCGAAGGGCGCTCCCGATGTGTTGACGCCCAGCCGTTTGTGACCGAACATCCAGCGCAAAAATAGTGAGGTCTTTAATTCAAGCCCAAATACCTAGCAGTTGATGGCATGACCGGCACCCTGGGCTTAACACCAACCTTTGCCTGACAGATTCGCACTTTTGGGACTCACCCGGAGCGGCCGTTGCAGGTGCCGAAGTTCCTCTTGTTTGACTTGCCGCTCTTCTTCGGGATCATCAGCAACGAGACCGCAGAGCACTGGGTTTTGGGGTGGTCCGTGGTCCCAAAAAGCGGTTATTGGATGTTATTGGGGTTGGAGAGAAGCAACTTGAACCGCAACTCGAAGAGTTGGGTACTACTCTTTTCATCTCTTTTCGTCTCTGTCCAGAGGTTATTAGGCGGTTCCGAAGGAGTGGTGGATCATCCTCAGTATATCGTTTCACGCTGCCACTTATCTGGTTTGCCTTCTGGACATACACAATCCATTCTGCATTTCTTCCTCTCACCTGACCTTTAAACAAGCAGGGTTTTGGGCTTTTCTAGGGTACCAACGCCTTCTATGGAGGGTTCGACCCCTGCTATGAAGGGTCCAAGGGTTTTTAGGGTAGTGGATTTTGGGCGCACTTTTTCGGTTGGTTTAGAGTGTGAGTATGTTGCTCTGAGGAGTCCCATTTGGAACAACAAGGTGTTGACTCTTGCTTCACATCCTCCACGATCGATGTTTTTTTTGCAAGTCCTGGTTCTGAATCTTTGAAGTCATTTTGTGGCTTGTCTCTTCTCTGGTGGTTGACTCTGCTTGCAGATCAAGTTTCCAAAGAGAAACTGTAGCACAGGCTTCCAACTTACAAGGCGCCAGCCACTTCTAAACAAGAGAAGAAGCCCAGTACTGCCAAGACTCATGGTTTGCCCCCGAGGCACTTTTGAGGGGCAGCAATTTTGCTGTAAATATCACTCCAAAGGGGCTTTAGGCTATAGGCCTTTGAATTCATTGTTTCTTGCGATTCGATGACAAGATAATATAACATGAGGAGAGTTTCACTTTAAATGTTTACGTTGACATATGATCAAGTTCTCAGCAATTCCATGCGAATAAGGGTGCAAATCCAAAACCCTTAAACCAAACATCCTTAGTTGATTGGTGGGGAGGGTGAGCCATGCGTCCTTGACTAACACTACAATTACTACATACAGTGCACTATCACAAAAAAAATACTGCATACCTCGCGACATGTAACCATGGCACTTTTCTTTTAGCGAACACCGCTTGATGTGCGCCCAACGTGGCGCCACTCGTCGCACGGCACCTCGGGACGTCCTCCGCCTCTTCGTCGCATGGCCGGCAGCTCGGGCGAGCTTTGGGCACGTTATGGCCCCAGCCCATGGAAGCAGCGGGTGCTGGATCGACTGCTCGCAGCGGTGCTGAACTACCTGGACTTCATCACGGATGTTCCTCCGTTCGGATGTCGTGGGCGGGACTCAACAAATCCTCCGTGAGGGGGACAGAGGACATGGGCGAGCTAACTGTCCAACATGGACATGTTGGGTGAGGATGGGTGAGGTGTTTTTTTGTCGTGTTGCGGCGACAGCAGCAGGTTTTTCCATACTGTTTTTTACAACATGGGAGATATTTGACCATTTATCCTTTTAGTCAGGGATAGTCATGGATGTCCCGGGTGAAAAACCGCAGTCCGCTTTCTTTGAGCCCTACAACGGTGGCTCTTGGGAGTCGTCTACAGTTGTTCGATCATGTTCGGTCCTGGTGTATTGAGCTTTCAAGGTGCTGGTGTTGCTTGAATATGGCTGCTACAGCACACTGCAAGCCACCTGCGACCACATCCCGAACTGGACGGAGACGAATGCGAGCACGCTTGACACATACAAGGTTTGTGAACCTCACTGGTGGTGGTTTGGCATCTCCCTCACCATCCTGGTTGTCTCCACATGCCTTCAAGCCTTTTTGTACGCGCTCGATAAGTTAAACAAGAGTTGTTGTGCTGGCTGTGGAGTGTTCCTTTGCGGCTTGCTACAGCTGAGCTACGCCCGCGATCTTTGCAAAGCCATCATGTGTTCCCATGATAAAACAGAGGATGACGCGATTCTCCGAAGAGACATTTTTGTGAAAGTCTTTGAATGTGCACCCCAGCTCTACTTACAGAGTTACATCCTCTTCGCCATACAAGCCCATGGAGATCCGCTGAAGGTCTTCTCTACTGTCATCTCAGCCTCGTCAATGGCACATGGCATAACTCGGTTCTTCTCTACTGTTACAGTTGCTACACTCAAACTGCGATTCCACCAGAAGCTGGCGATTGGTTCCTGGGTCTGTTCTAGCTTTTGACGATTTGGTATGTTTTTGTTAATTTGTATGTGATTTGGCCTATCCCTGATAGGGAGTCCCGTTCGCATCGCACGCTCGCTTTGGGATGGTTGTTATTTTTAAACTCTAATCTTTAAACTCTACCAGGACCTTCCAGATGTCTAAAAATCGCCTCTAGGGTTCTCCAAACACCTGTTGGAAGGTCCTGGATTGTCCGGGTATATCAAGTTCGCTGCCAGGGGTCACAAGACGGGGTGGTGTTTAGTCCCCAAGTGAGTGGATAATGGGCACCCCAAAATTCCATGGATAGCACCCCGCTTGTGATCCCTGGTGGGCTGTCCTATTTTTGTTTTGGTTTTGGTGTGACTCAGCCAGGTTTGTTTCTGGCCACAGACCAGCTACTCCGCGCCTCCGGCTATGCCTTGGTCTTGTCTCCGGCCGCTCGACCCATCGGGGTTCCGATGATGCTCGTGTTTGGGGTGCTGTCCTGGGGACTGATCCACAAAGCATACGGGACTGGAGGAGGAGTTGCAACGCTGGTTTTCACGCTGTTTATTGCGGTGGTGGGGGGACACGTAGTGCCCATCTTTCCTTTGAATGCTCTCATAGACACCACCATGAAGACAGCCTTGAAGGGCTCTGAATGTTGGAAGCAGCTGTACCTACGTTGGGCTCTGGCACCGCGTTTCCTGGAGATGGTGCTTTGTGGTATCATTGGCTGGACGGTGGCCAAAACGGCCTGTGGATCGACTCCTACAGTCGAAGTGGGCTCGTTCTTTGGTCTACTCGCTGTGAACTTCATGTTTCTCCTGGTCATGCTATGGTGCATGAACGACTGTCACCCAGTCGAGCTCAATCATTCAGAGTCGCCAGTGCCCTTGGGCAATGCGCAAGTCCATCCAGAAGAACCGCCGTAAAGGGGGGGCGGTCACTGGCAGACGCCTTTGTCGCCTGCGAGGGCCTCCCCCCTCGGGGGCCTCCGGCCCTTCGAAGGTCATCGGATCACAAAAGGGCTCAAAGATGCTCTTTGGCCTTTTTCAGCATCTCAAAGATGCTCACACGAAGCATCACGAAGCTGACTCAGCACTGGCCGCAGAGACTGAAAGGGTTGAAAACACCAGCGGAGGGTTGCGCGAGGAATGGCGAGTTTCGGATCAGGACGACAGTTTTCGTGTGTTCATGTCTTACAAAGAAAGGAGGGGGGGATGAACGGTTTGAGATTCTTCTCAACCAGAGCTTCATCTGAAATACTTGGAGGACCTATTCCAGCATTTGGGGATTGACCAGGCTGTCTGGAAGCTCTGGAAGTGGTTGCGGCCACGAATCTCCCAGGTCTCATTCCACGATCGCTTTCTGTTGCGGTGCTAGTGACCAGGAGTGTAGGGAACCTGTACGTGAATGCTAGTTTGAAGGTGTTTGAAGTTGCAGAAAATACTACGTATAGCTTGAAGATGTTTGAAGTCAGCCTCTACCAGTACTAGAGCCCAACAAAGACATACTCGGCACAGGGGGCTCTCAAGCCCTTTTCCCAAGATGAGCAGCTTACAAGAACTTCACTCGCCGACCTGTCGCTATGCTCTTCCAATCGACAGGGGGTCGAGACACCGCCTCTGAGGTGACCTCTATCCGGACGCAGATGTCCCCTACGTCCGGGCACCGAGCTATCCGGGGCGACGTGGTGAGCCAGCATGACCTGTGCACACCGCACACATGGCGTCTCCACTCGTGCAAAAAAAATCTTGTTACAAACGTAGTAAGAATGCTCCGTTCGTTTATTCGGCCGTTGGAGCCCCGTTCGGAGCGTCCCTTGCTCCGTTCGAGTCGCGATGCCAGGAGCCCCGTTCGTAGCGAACATGGTTCCTAGTGGTTTCAAACAGGAGAAGTACAGACCACTGTATGTTCTTTTCACTTGTGGTTTCCAACTCATTCTCGCACTCACACTGACTGAGACTCAAGGCATTGTCTCTGAAAATGCTTTCCCAGGAGAGTTCACTTGTTTCAATAAAATTGATTCTCAGTCGCAGCGCAGTGGTTGCTTCGTGCGAGGTGGATTATGGACGGCTCCAAAAGGAAATCGAGAACCAGCTGAAATTGGCAAAGTTGGAGGTGGGCCAAGGAACGCAAGGAAGTTCCCTCCAAGAAATGCAGGAAAGAACATCCCGGCCATATTCTTTTGGCGGATCAAGATCAAGTATATGGCATGATGTATTGTACCACTAAGTCGGGTGTGTTTTCTTCCCACCGGCTGGTAGGAGATGGTAGGTCTAGTTGGTTTTTTTGGGAAGGTGTCTTCATCAGTCTTCAGTCTTCAATTTTTCGACCTCGACCGCACGAAGAGGCGGAACAAGGTGACACGTTGGGATGGACCTGAACCGGCGGCCCAAGCACTTCCAGCGGCCCAAGCAGCAGATGTGGGAGCATGGAGGTGTTTTTCCTTTGTGATGGAACTAGGGTGAGATCACTGGCCCACACATGCGCACACCAGGTTTCAGGTATACAAAAGCCATGGCTTTCAGAAAGGGTCCCTGGCTGCGGCTTCTGGGCTTAGGGTGCCCTTGTTCTCAAAAGCAGGGAGTCCTCAGCCGCCTAAAAACCGCCTCGGCTCCGCTCTCTTCGCCCGAATCGATTTCACCCTTTGGAGCCCCTTCAGGTTTGCTCCAAAGAGTGACAGTACTCGGACCCAGAGTGTTCCTTGGTCCGTTCGTCGTGTTTTGGTATGAACTCCGGACCTTTGACCGTCGGAAGCCAGATGTTCTGAACAACTCCTGCCAAGTCATCCTGCCCCCCAGCCTCTTTCACTTTGGCCTCTACCGGCCTCTCAATCACTCGTCCTCCCCACGTAGTCCTTCCCATCCCTCGTCCGTGATACGTATAGTCTACTTGCTACTCTGCTACTCCTCCGCAGGTGGTGCCCTCCTTCGTGGGGAAGATCATCCAACTCTTGGAGACGCAACTGGTGCGGCACGGCGTCATGGCGCGGACGCCCCGGGAGCGCATCGGCGTTCGAACGGAACGGGGCGAGGCGAGAGCGGAGCGGCGTCCGTTTTCGCAGACTTCCCATGAAGAGAAGCGTTGCAAAAAATGGAAGAGGCACCAAGAGAGGTCTCCTGTGAATGCGTGATGAAATGAGGTTGGAGGACCAAACATGGTGTTTTTTCCGATCCCCCGGGACTGTTGTGGCTTTGAACTGATTCAGTTGATTGCGCTTCCATAAACTGGAAGAAGTTCGGAAGAAGTACTAGAGGATTTCACAACACATTTTCTTGGAGGCCTCGACCATCTGAGGCATCCCGGGGCCGCAACACTCGATCAAAATACCCCGGAATCGCGCGGAATCGATTCCACGCGATGCTTCGCATCTCTGCGTGCCTCCCAGGTGGTGGGGAACTCCTTCATCGGCAAGTCCACGAAGATCCAGATCTTGGCCAAGGCCTTGTCGAAGCTGCGCCAGGACCGGGTTGAACCCCGCGGGTGACCCGAAGCCGCGGGCTCCGTTCTCGGTCGTTCTCGGTCTCCCACCGGGGCCGGACAGAGTGATGTCCGCGGTCTGTTCTCGGTGTCCGATCGGGGAAGCGCTTGGGATTGGGTGACGGGGTCCGTGTGGCGGAAGTAGCGAACGAGAGGACAGGTATATCTCTTTGGGGTGTCCAGAATGACAACTCCTTGTAATCATCGTAAATCCTGGTATGTACAAGTCACCGAAAAGCAAGGCGCCGGCGGCTTACATCCCTCTCTTTTGCTCAATTGCCGCATTCCCCCAGGCCGAGAATCCTACCGGGTCAACGGGTCCGGAAATTGAATGGCTGAACGGATGACATCGGATATCGGATAGGTGTTTTCTTGCCATCGATACGGAGTAGGTGTGCCCAGGTCCCGGTTCCGGGAAGTCTTGTCGTCCCCGCGCTTCCGGGAGCCGGGAGCAGACGCGACCGTTGCCATCGCCCCACAGCTGAGGGACTGTCGGTCGACAGTCCATGTCGACCTCTTCCGACCTCTTCCGACCCAAAACGACCCACCGCAGCAGTCCGACACATGGCAGCCACTCCCAGAGTCGTCAGGAGGACCTCTCTCTGGGTCCGACCGACCGGACCTGGTCGTATCTGCTTTTGGATCAGCGTAGAACAGTGAAGAAACAGACTCCCCACATAAACAGGGTGAAACAGCACAAAGACTTCGGCTGTTGGATCTGTCGGATCTGTCGGGGAGTGTTTTGCCCGACCACAAAGCGAGAGGATTTCCAGGACCCCAAAGCGACTCATATCTTCACTCCCACGCAGATGTTTGGCAGAGATGAAGCGCTTCAGACATGATTTGTGATGTGACATTAGGGATCTGAAGGCAGATGAACACACCTCAAACCCCTTAGCTGCTAATTCCCTCTCAGAAGAACAAAGTACATCCAGCATATGGTTTGTTTAGCTCACTGTTCACCATCCACCGCGAACGCGCATGAAATGGGATGGATCCGGCTCAGGCGCGAGACGGAACGACGAAACAACCGCGTGACGCTTGTGACGAGAGTCTCGTGGGATTCTGGGAACACTGCAGTGGCCTGGATTTCTATGCATTAAAAGCATCTTTTTGCATTATTTGGTTGTGTCTTGTGCAAGCTCCTTGGGCCTGTCTCAAAATGGACACACTACTGTTCGAGGATCAAGTCCTGTACTCCTAGCAGATTTTTGGGCTTTGCATGTGCTGCAAGGAAAAAGCTGCTCCCTGCTTAGCTCAGCTAGACTCTAGACATATCTAACATACATCAAGCCTGTCGAAGCCAAACGCGTCGCTGGCGCCATCCTTCTAATCCGTCGTGGAGTGGTGAACTCGACCGGCCCTCGCACCCTGAGAGACGGTCACGGTGCCGGTCGAAGTCGCCGGCCGACCATCGGAAACGCCCCGAGTTGGGTCCCATGGAGGCCTCTGGTTGGCTGCCGCGAAGGCTGGAAAGAAGAGGAATGGAACATGTAGCAACAAGTTGCGATTTGTACCCAAGCAGCAACACTGACAGGTTATGGTGGCTGTGGTTGAAATATTCTTTTGATTGCGGTGATTGAACTGAGTGGCATTCTGGTCCGAAGCCGTGCACCAGCTGCGCGAGTTCTGGTCGCGTACGCCCACTGAACGGCTCCAGGCCAGAACCGGCGGAGCCCCAGCGAACGCAGGTGCAGGCGCAACCCGCGGTGCACCCAAGCGAGACTCTGAGTCCAAGACTCTGCGGAGTGGACGTCGCCACGAAGGGGGAGAAGGGAAGGTGAATTTAGGATGAGAAGACCGCACCCACAAGGGTTGAAGGGTGGAATTGGTGCTTCTGGATGGTAAGCGCTGACCAGTTGTACTATATCTTGCACCCAACCTCACAGTTGTACTGTTGGCAATTCGACTTTGTGGCGACTTTTTCAATTCGTGTCGGTCAGGTTTGAGAGGGGATGAATCTGGCGCTTCGTGCATCCGCGGGGGAAGGTTCTGCATATTCATGCTTATTATGTCTCATAGTGACCAATGCCTGGTAAGGATAAGTAGAATCGATGCACCACCTCATGGAAAACCAGCCATTCAGAATTCATAAGCCAGTTGTTGAAACGAGGCATAGCATGGCGCCGTGGCTGTGACTGAGACATATGGCATACTGTAACTGACTGCTATATATATTTGGAACCACGGTTGGGAACCAACCAGAAAGGAGAACTCCTGTCCTCAACCCTACGGCGCCCCTTTTCTATGCTCCATGCCTCGAGCAGATAGGTTGCCTGTATACGACGAATGGTGATACACTGCTTTCACACTCCATCAACTCTCTACAAAATGCAAAATTCGAACGTCCACAACGAATCTGCTGGTGCATAACTTCTGGAATGGCAGTGTCCTGACATCTCTTCGAACCTCACTTGCGCTCTCGCTTCTCTGTCGACCCTGCAAAAGTGGCTGCTGGATCTGAGCTTCGATTGATGCTCTCGGAGAAATGCGCTCCAGGTATGCCGCTAGGTCACCGAATCGGCCATCTCGATGGAGTCCATGGCCTTGTACCCAAGTCAGGTACTTGTGGTGATCCTTCTGGGCCACGAGCTCTTGGTAACTCAAGCCCAAGGCACTCACCTTCGGGAGGCGGCACACCGTCGTTCCCCAGTTCTCAGTGCTTGACACGCCAGTCGGCAATGGGATCTTGAGATTCTCACCCTTCTTTTCTGGCTTGAGAGGGACTTGCTTGGAGGTGCTTCCGGCTTCCAGCCGTTCCTTTTCCAACGACCCATCCTCTGACGTGTAGGTCACTGGCTCCCAAGCTTCATCGAGTTCGATGTCATATCCATCCCTGAGGCGCTTCGAACTGTCGTTCATAGCCCCGTATCCAGCGGTCATCTCTGGATCCTTGACTCCTGCCTTGGAGGCTCGTGCAACAATGTCTTGTGCCATAGCGAGCTCCTTGGATGTCACTGGCTTTGAGGAGGAAGCCATATCGAACGAAAAACGACACGGCACGGAATGCACTGGAGCGAGAAGCGACTCTTGAGATCTCGCAAGACGGCCAATCGTCGTCGGTGCAACTCAAAGCAAGGAATTCTTTCAATCACAGGCATAAAAATGGGCATGTTCAACTGTACATTCACAAATCATCAACTGTACATGAATCTTCACTCTGAGGCGACCGAAAACAACTCTTCACTGTAGCAATGCAGTATCCCTATACTCACTTACAATGCTTGAGACTTCCAGTCTAAGAGCAAGAAAAACTTAAAAGGGCATTAACGAAAAACTGCAAGGTCTCACGTGGAACCTTTGTTGTGGGCTTTGGCTCTTTGGTGTGCAACTTGTCGTCTTCTTTCCCGTTCTTCCCTTTTCCTGTCGAGAACTGTCTGCTCGTCAGCCAGCTGGTATCTAGCTGACCGAAGGACGGAACGGAGCAAGTCCATCGGTTCGGCCTTGTCCTTGGTGAGTCCGTCTGCTATCATGTGGCCAGTTGGGACCCAACGAGCCTCTAGACCTGTGCGCCTGATCGATTGCCGAATGATTGCTACATCGATGGCTGTTCGTCGGTCATCCAAAGTTCCCCCGGAACCTAATGAAAGCAAATGGTCAAACAGCGAGCGACAGTTGGTCATTCCTATGGGTTTTCTTCTCAACAGAACTTCTTCAGCATCTTCTAGAAGGAACGGTCCGTCTAAACACTCGGCTGTCATCAAAGCAATCCACTCGCACACTCCAGCGGCCGTCGAGTAGGCCTGAGCCTCACCTCCTAAAGTGGAGGCTACAACACGTGGAAGGCGATAGGACTTCCAGGAGAAACAATGCACTGGCACATCTGCACCCTGCCTCATCTGATTCGAAGTAAAGCCTATCATCCAACCCCCCTGGGTTTTGAGTTCTTCGGTGTTTGCGAAAGCAGCATCTGACCAAAAGCAGATGGTGAGTTCTTCTGGTGGAATGAACGGCACTCGAATCCTGAGGTCAGATTGTTGTCGTGCCCTGCGAACTGCCTGATTGGCTTGGAGAAGATAAAAAATCGTTGGTTTGGGGAAGCACTGCTGACTTTGCGATGTCTGAACTGCAATGTCAGGTCTTGTTTGAGTGCTCAACCAACTCAAGGCACCATTCACTGCTCTCAGCGCTGACACTTCTTGGGGGTTTGCTGGCAACCAAGAACGTTTGGCCCTTTCTTTACTTATCTTGATTGGTTGAATGTGTTCGGCATATTCCTTCTGACCAAAAGTGATCTCAAAACTTTGAGGATCTTGCTCATATATGGTGCCCAAAAACTCCCCGGTGCCTGAACGCCACTTTCGGAAAGGGAATCTCGATCGCAACTTCTCTATGGCAGTGGCATATGTTTTCCCCTCCCCTCCAGTGATAGTGTCATCAACATGCGCTCCTAACACCCCTTCAAGATGTCCGTCAGCTCCGAAACACAGATACAAGCAATTATCGAATTTGCTTCTTGTGAACCCGGATGCCAATGCCACTTTGTCGAACTCACAATACCACTCATGAGGAGCGTCGTTCGCTCCGTAGATGTTACCCAAGATCTGAACAAGGGAACCTGGTTCGACTCCGGGCACACCGCCTGGTGGCAGTTCTGCGTACACCGGATTCAGCATGGCCTTTTCTCGAACATCTGCCTCGAGGAATGCTCCT